GATAAATTGTTTGAATCTAAAATCCAACAGATGGGTGAGTTAGCACGGATCGAGCATAACAACCCTGTAAGCACCACTAGTCCACTCTAAATGCATCATGGAAACGACAACACCTTATAATCCGGTTAAGATATTATCAGCAACTACGTCCACAAACTTCTCTTGAAGCATTTCGATAAAAAGCCAAAAAAACAACTGGTCATTGCTTCGATTCAATGTATCATTGCTGCGAAAGCACCATCACTAGAATGTTGGGAATTGAAACGCAGTGGAGCGATTATTCGATTCCCCTATGTCCAAACAACCTTTATATTGGAAAACAGTAAATGAATGTTTAAGAGTGTCATTGCTTCATTTATTGTTTAACAGTAAAAAACGGTAATTGAATGTTCATATTCACAGAAAGGGAGAAGATCCAATTTACCCTATTCAACATCTCCACAGAAAAAATCGAACCTTTATTGAATAATCCGATGTGAATACAAGAATTGAACAACAGAACCCCTAATTTCTATTATGTTCATCGTATCACTATCTCGCTCTATTCCTCAGAGACATACAAAACCTTAACAAAAATATCGTGAATCTCGAGACAGAGAACACTCGCTGTACAGTACAGTTTAACCAAGGAAAAAGACACGCGTTCATATTCACAGTATATTCAGAGTAAGACACCCAAATCTTCAAGTCCCACAAACTCGTTGGGATTATATCCATATTCTCCTAGATCGGAGAGGGCGGGCTCCACTCCTGAGTTTCCACCGCAAACGGCCGAGTCCTCCGGCGAACTCCAGAAACCATGGCTGTCCACGCAGCAGTCCTCCAAGTTTCCACCGCCAACGGCCGAGTCCTCCGGCGAACTCCAGAAACCATGGCGGTCCACGATGCAGTCCTCCGACCGATTAGGGGTCGACCCCGCTCCTAAACTTCCACCTCCAGCGACATTAGACCCGCAGCCCTCGAGATCGGAGACCGCGGGGGTGGACCCCACAGCTGAACTTCCACCGCCGGCAGCCGGGTTCTCCGGCGAAGTCAGGAAACCTTCGTCTTCCGTCAAGAGAGCCGCGAGCGCTGGGCCTTGACCTTCGAGACTCTCGAATAAAGAATCGATCTCCTGTTCGCTCAATTTGTGTGAATCCTCCAACGCCTTCAGCTTCTCGCGCGCACAGTCGCGGACCGCTTCGTATTTCAGAATCAGGGACGCGAGGTCCTCCTCGGTGGCGCAAGCGTCCCACTCCGTTTGGACCCATTCCGCCCACTGGGTCAGACCCATCGGCGGCATCACCCCGCCGCCGCCGCCGCCGCCTAGGAGGTAGTCGGATATAATTTCGTCGGCCGATGGGTCGCCGAAAGAGCAAGGTTTGCCGGCGGGGGAGAAGACGACGACCGCTACGCGGGCGCCGCAGAGGCGGGAGAGCTCGTACGCCTTATTGAAGAGGCCCTTGCGCCTCTTGGAGTAGGTCACGAGCCGGGCAGCGGGGTCGGCGATCCTGGCTTTCTCGGTTCGCCGGCGCTTGGCCGTCGACGACGCCATCAACGACGGAGTACCGTCGAAGGGTTTGAACGAGGTTTCTGGGTTTCTTGGAGAGAGAGAGAGAGAGAGAGAGAGAGAGAATGGAGAAGAGGGTTTGCAGGGGGAGGAGGGCGAGGAGAGGGTTTTGCAAACGCGGTTTTGCATTTAAATCGAACAAGACGCGGCAAGAGGAAGCTCCGGGCCACCGGCTGTTCCGGCGGCACACGGAGGAGGGGAACAACCACCTCCTCCGTCTCCGTTCAACGGCGATGTCCATCGTGGAAGAGGGAGAGAGAGATGACGGAGTGCAGGTGTCTCCGTTTGTTTCTTCTGCCGTTCATTAAGACAAAGATATTTATCTTGTGAACGATAAACGTGATATTTTTCGTTATAAATTCGACTTGCTCAATTCCCCTGTTTTTTTTACACAAAAAAAAAAATCCCCATTTTTTCAGAAGGAAATGAAAGCTAGTTTTTTTTTTTTGGTCTGTGAAATGAAAGCTAGTTTTTTTCCGTTATAACAGGACACTTGATTTCGCCCATCATTTGAAGCCGGCCCCGTCTGCTGCGCTGGGAACCTCCCGAAGGCGGCGATCCTCCCGGGGCTGAACGGGTGTGGCGGCTGAGATCCTCCTCTCGGGTTTGCGCCGGTAGCCGCCGCACGGGGCGAACCCCGACGCCTCGTATTTATTTTCTCTTTCCAATGCGACGTTGCGTCGATAAAACCAGCTAACATCTCATTAGGACGACTTGATTATACCGATTTCAAAAAATGTTTAGAATTTGATTGGACATTAAGAAAAAACATTACGCTATATTCGGTAGAAGAACAAAAAAAATTTAGAAATGACTTCTTTATTGGACTAAGAGAAAATAAATACATGAACTCGGAGGGATAGCGGGTGATAATACAATTGATTTTGTATAATTATTCAAATCCTTCAAAACATGAAAGGAATTGCAAGGATTGTGTATATATATATATGTGTGTGTCTATTTTTTTCTTTATCTTCTTTTTCTTTTTCCTACTTGTACCTTTTTTTTTTTCTTATCTCCAGGATAAAAGCATATTCAAGTCCCTATTATGTTTTCCTTTTGGTTCCTTTTTCTCGCTAACGTATCTAACTACACCGTAACACAATTCCATCACATCCATAGACCCTCGAGCTCGGAGCCCGTCATTTCCCTGGCAGGACTTCCCCCCCGACACGCCCATCGTCACATCGTTGGGCGAAGCATAAGCGCAACACCTTCCTCGACCCCGACCTCGCCACACGCATTCCTCCATTAGAGACTTGATTTCGCCCATCCTTTGAAGCCCTGTCTGCGCTCGGAACCTCTCGAAGGCGGCCATCCTCCCGCGGCTGAACAGGTGGGTGGCTGAGACCCTCCACAGGTTTGCGCCAGCAGTCGCCGCACGGGGCGAAACCCATCGCCCCGTGGAACAGGAGCTCGTACGTCGACTCCTTCGCAAAGATGAAGGACGGTCTGGAGGAGGAGGTGGGAAGAGAGTGAAGAGGTCGTCAGTCGTCACATGACATGGCGATGGAGGTTTTCTGAGGGAGACGACGCAAAGATGGTGGGAAGAGGAAAGAGTATATGGGGAGAGAGGTTGGTCGGGCAAGGACAGAACATCTTCATCACTCATTTTCTTCGTCGCCTGGCAGCCGTAGACGAGTGCAGCGGGTCAGACGTTTTTCATGATTACTTGCAAGAGGGATGAACAGTACACCATCAAAGGAGGAGATTCACGTTCCTGTCCGGGTCCCCCACTGACTCCCACACCGACCATCAAGATGAGCTTATAGCTCGTTACAGGCCTAGGACCTGCCTTTTCTTCTTAATTCTCAATCATACTAAAATAACACTCCCCGAGTAAGTTCAATAAATGTGAAAAATGACACGACTTATTGATAATCGAATGCTTAAACTAGTCTATTAACTCAAACCATTTACCAGTTTATCTCATCATCTAGTAAATTTCATTTGATACCCGAGCTCTTTTTTTATCTCGAGCATTATTTTTCTTTTCTTACCCGCTTTCAAAAACTAGTTATTGGTCATCGAAATGCTAGCCGCCCGAAAAAGGCAATGCAACTTTAGTCTTTTAGAGACTTACTCATACGTGAATCGAGCTCGTAATCTCATTAAAATTAAGTAATCCGTTTACCATTAGACCGACCACCTTTTAAGATGAAGTGACAGAGAATAACATTTTGGTGTACCCTCTCATGTGCAAATCGAACTGAAAACCATGAGGAAGAATGCACGTGGAGTTAAAGAAGTTAAAGAAGTCTCCTATGCTTGTAATCTCGCTGTGCTTAGGTGTTTGGGCTTTTGGTTAGACTTTTTAACAAAAATTTATTGAGTAAATACAACCATAATTAGATGGGTAGAAAAAACAAGCTTGCCAAAAATCATTTTTCTATACTTTCCTCCATATCACTGCAAACAAATGACGATTGACATCAATATGAAGATGTTATCCAAGACTTCTGCAAAGAAATTTGACAAAAAAAGTTGCCGCGACTAACAGGATAACACATAATATTATCTTTTGGAAAGTCTCCAAATTAAGCAAACCCAAGCCTGGGAGGAATATAGTTTTTGGCCAAACTTGATCATAAACCACGTTGTCTAACTTGGACTGTCATTGCAAATGAAAAACAGCTATATCTAAAATACAAAATATGCGCTTGCATGACCAATGAGTTGAGCCGAGGACTCGATAACAGAGGAAAAGTTCCTTGACTAGTCAACTTTAGAGCCCTTTTGTAGTTGCAATTCATCAACTATTATTATCCATGTTGGATTATCAATTCATCGAATTGAGTACAAGAATAGAATTTACTTGCCTACGTTTTAAATTTAACAATGGCCCTTGTCCTACCATAGTGACCTTACTCCTCAAGCTTCACAACTAGTTAATATACTAAAAGGAACCATGATTAATCAACTAAAAATTTACCATGCTGGCTCAGTCTGAAAATAAAGATGAGGGGCACGTCCAGTAGTGTACATTTAAATGGTCAAATTCAAGGCACTAAAAAAGATTAGTTCTCTCAAACACCAAAAGACAAAAAGTTAGAAGTGGCTGTCAAACTACAAAATTGTCACAGTAAGCAGAGAACTGTCACTAAGGACTTGCCAAACAGTTCAGTTCCTGAACTTTATGGGTCAGAAACCAGGTTTACCCTTGGAAGACTCAACAAGAACCATAAAGAAGGAAAACATTAATGCAGTAAACAAGTGACGATGAACCCTCCTCCTTCAACCAATGCCCACAACCAGCGGAATCTCCTCCTCCGCCGGCCACAGTCAGGAGCAGAGCCGTGCCGGCGAGAGACCGGGTGGCGACAGACTTCGGGAGGAGCACAAGGGCAAAGATGCTGGGGACGCTCCCCTCCATCTACCTCAGGTGGGTCTCCAACAACACACCGAGAGAGATCGCAAGCAAGAAGAAGAAGATGCAGAAGAAGATTCAATGTACCCAATTCACCATCTGAAAAACAATCTAACCTTTATTGAATTATCCGATTTGAACTCAAAGAATTGAACAACAAAACCGCTAACTTCTATAATGTTCTTCGTATCACTATCTTGCTCCGTTCCTCAGAGACATACAAAACCCTCCGAGACAGAGAACATCCCTGTACAATACAATTTGACAAATGGAAAAAGACACACGATTCACATTCACAGTAGGACACCCAAATCTTCGAGTGTAGCAAAGTCGATGGGATCATATCCACAACCCTCTCGATCAGAGAGGGCGGGCTCCACTCCCGAGTTTCCACCGCCCACGGCCGACTCCACCGGTGAAGTCAAGAAATTATCGCGATCGCCGTCCTGGACACATTCCTCCAACAAATTAAGAAAATCATCCGGATCAAACCCACAGTCCTCAAGATCAGAGCAGGTGGGGGTCGACGCCATTCCTAAGCGTCCACCTCCAGGGGCATTAGATCCGCAACTGTCGATATCGGAGCGCACGGGGATGGACTCCACTGCCGAACTTCCACCGGCGGCGGCCGAGTTGTCGGGCGAAGTCATTAAATCGTTGCCATCACCGTCAGTCAAGAGATCCGAAAGCGCTGGGCATCGGCCTAAGCTCTCGAAAATCGCATCTATCTCCTCCTCGGTCAGAACGTGAGAATCACCCGCACCGACCTTGACTTGCGATTCATCCTCCAACGCCTTCAGCTTTTTGCGCGCGCAATCGCGGACGGCTTCGTATTTCAGGATCAGGGACTCGAGGTCCTCCTCGGTGGCGCAAGCGTCCCACTCCGTTTGGACCCATTCCGCCCACTGGGTCAGACCCATCGGCGGCATCACCTCGCCGTCGCCGTCGCCACCGTCGCCGCCGCCTCGGAGGTAGTCGGAGATGATTTCGTCGGCCGATGGGTCGCCGAAAGAGCAGGGCTTGCCGGCGGGGGAGAAGACGACGACCGCTACGCGGGCGCCGCAGAGGCGGGAGAGCTCGTACGCCTTATTGAAGAGGCCCTTGCGCCTCTTGGAGTAGGTCACGAGGCGGGCAGCCGGGTCGGCGATCCTGGCTATCTCGGTTCGCCGGCGAGGTGATGCCGCCGATGGGTCTGACCCAGTGGGCGGAATGGGTCCAAACGGAGTGGGACGCTTGCGCCACCGAGGAGGACCTCGAGTCCCTGATCCTGAAATACGAAGCCGTCCGCGATTGCGCGCGCAAAAAGCTGAAGGCGTTGGAGGATGAATCGCAAGTCAAGGTCGGTGCGGGCGATTCTCACGTTCTGACCGAGGAGGAGATAGATGCGATTTTCGAGAGCTTAGGCCGATGCCCAGCGCTTTCAGATCTCTCGACGGACGGTGATCAGAACGCTTTCATGACTTCGCCGGACAACTCGGCCGCCGGCGGTCGAAGTTCGGCAGTGGAGTGGCGCTCCGATATCGACTGTTGCGTATCTAATGCCCCTGGAGGAGGAAGCTTAGGAGAGGCGTCGACCCCCACCTGCTCTGATCTTGATGACTGTGGGTTTGATCCGGATGATTTTCTTAATTTGTCGGAGGAATGCGTCGAGGACCGCGACCGCGATAATTTCTTGACTTCACCTGAGGGCTCGGCGGTTGGTGGTGGAAACTCGGGAGCGGTGCCCGCCGTCTCTGATCTAGAGGGCTATGAATACGATCCCATCGACTTTGCTACGCTCGAAGAATTGGGTGTCCTACTGTGAATGCGAATCGTGCGTCTTTCTCCTTTTGTCAAATTGTATTGTACAAGGAGCGTTCTCTGTCTCTGAGGAACAGAGCGTGATAGTGATGCGATGAACATAATAGAAATTATAGAGGTTTTGTAGTTCAAATCTTGAATTCAGATAGGATAATTCAATAAAAGTTCGATTTTTGGTTCGAATGGTGAATTGGGTACATTGAATCTTCTTCTTGCTTGCGATCTCTCTGCGATTGTTGGAGACCCACCTGAGGTAGATGGAGGGGAGGTTCCCCAGCATCTTGCCCATGTGCTCCTCCCGAAGTCTATCGCCACCCGGTCTCTCGCCGGTGCGGCTCTGCTCCTGACTGTGGCGGCGGCGGAGGAGACTCCACTGGTTGTGGGCATTGGTTTTGAAGGAGGAGGGTTCATCATCACATGTTTACTGCATTAATGGTTTCCTTCTTTAGGGTTCTTGTAGAGTCTTCTAAGGGCAAACCAACTGAGGCCATTCGGGGAGGATGGTGATTGCTCTTTCTACATGAATATCTGCTTCCTTTGTTTTACTGGTTTCTGATCCACAAAGTTCAGGAACTGAACTATTCGGCAAGTCCTTAATGACAGTTCTTTGCTTACTGTAACAATTTTGTAGTGTGACAGCCAATTTTAACTTTTTGTCTTTTGGTGTTTGAGAGAACTGATCTTTTTTAGTGCCTTGAATTTGACCATTTAAACTGGACGTGCCCCTCATCTTTATTTTCAGACTGAGCCAGCATGGTAAACTTTGAGTTGATTAATCCTGGTTCCTTTTAGTATGTTAACTAGTTGTCAAAGCTTGAGGAGTAAGGTCACTATGGTCGGACCAGAGCCATTGTTAAATTTAAAACGTAGGCAAGTAAATTCTATTCTTGAACTCAATTCGATGAATTGATAATCCAACATGGATAATAATAGTTGATGAATTGCAACTACAAAAGGGCTCTAAAGTGGACTAGTCAAGGAACTTTCCCTCTGTTATCGGGTCCTCGGCTCAACTCATTGGTCATGCAAGCGCATATTTTGTACTTTAGATATAGCTGTTTTTCATTTTCAATGACTGTCCAACTTAAGATAACCTGGTTCATGATCAAGTTTGGCCAGAAACTAGATGCCTCCCAGGCTTGGGTTTGCTTAATTTGGAGACTTTCCAAAAGATAATAGTATGTGTTGACCTGTTAGTCGCGGTAACTTTTTTTGTCAAATTTCTTTACGGAAGTCTTGGATAACACCCTCATATTGATGTCAATCGTCATTTGTTTGCAGTCATATGGAGCAAAGTATAGAAAAATGATTTTAAATTGAAGGACAAAGAGTCGCAAACACAAAATAAACTTGAGGTATGAAGCATGCGTAAGTAACTCTGATAACTTGGCATGCAAATGTTTAAGTTATTCCTTTAAGGAGAGTACAAGCGTAAGACCCATTGAAATTTAATATTCAAGTCGCGTGGAAAACCGCTTTAACTTGTTTAACTCCACACGCATTCTTCCTCATGGTTTTTCAGTTCGATTTGCACATAACCAAAATGTTATTCTCCGTCACTTTACCACAAAAGGTGGTTGGTCTAATGGTAAACGGATTACCTAATTTTAATGAGATTACGAGTTCGATTCACGTCAGGAGTAAGTCTTTAAAAGACTCAAGCTGCATTGCCTTTTCCAAGCAGTTAGCATTTCGATAATCAATAGCTGATTTTTGAAACCGGGTACGAAAAGAAAAATAATGCTTGAGATTAAAAAAAAGCTCGGATATCGAATGAAATTTACTAGATGATGAGACAAACTGGTAAATGGTTTAACTTAATAGACTAGTTTAAGCATTCGATTATCAATAAGTCATGTCATTTTTCATATTTATTGAACTTACTCAGGGAGTATTATTTTGGTATGATTGACAGTTGGCAAACCAAAGGCAGGTCCTAGCTCCTAGGACTAACGAGCTGACTTTCTCTGATGTGTACTGTTCATCTCTCTTACGAGTAATCATGAAAAATGTCTGACCCGCTGCACTCGTCTACGGCTGCCAGGCGACGAAGATGTTCTGTCCTCGCCCAACCATCCTCTCTCCCCATATACTCTTCCTCTTCCCACCATCTTTGCGTCGTCTCCCACAGAAAACCTCCATTGCCACGTCATGTGACGACTGACGACCTCTTCACTCTCTTCCCACCTCCTCCTCCTCCAGACCGTCCTTCATCTTTGCGAAGGAGTCGGCGTACGAGCTCCTGTTCCACGGGGCGATGGGGTTCGCCCCGTGCGGCGACTGCTGGCGCAAACCCGTGGAGGGTCTCAGCCGCCCACCCGTTCAGCCCCGGGAGGATCGCCGCCTTCGGGAGGTTCCGAGCGCACCAGACGGGGCTTCAAATGATGGGCGAAATCGAGGGTGCGATGGAGGAGCATGGCGAGGTCGGGGGCGAGGAAGGTGTTGCACTTATGTTTCGCCCAACGATGCGACGATGGGGGGCGTGTCGGGGGGGGGGGGGGGGGGGAGGTCCTGCGACTTCGGCGTTCGCAAGGGCCGCCATAGAAGTGACGGGCTCCGAGCTCGGGGGTCTCTGGATGTGATGGAATTGTGTTATAGTGTACGTGGATACGTTGGTCAATATATATTTATATATATTTATCTTCTGTTTTTTATGTTTTCCTTTTGGTGTCCTTTTTCTCGCTAACGACACAATCCTTGTAATTCCTCTAATGTTTTGAAGGATTTGAAGAATTATACAAAATATTATCACTCGCGATCCCTCGTAATTCATGTATTTATTTTCTCTCCATCCAATAAAGACGTCATTTCTGAAAAAGAGTTTTCTCCTCGCTCTGAATCTCCTCTACCAAATATAACCTAATGTTTTAACTTAATGTCCGATCGAATTCTAAATATTTTGAAATAGGTATAATCAAGTCATTTTAACGAGGTATTAGTCAATTTTATTGACGCGACGCCACATCGGATAAAAAAAAGTGGAAAGTAAAGAAAAAAACAAAAAATTCGGTATTTATTTAGAATGCCTTTTATATTCAAAGCTTGAGGAGTAAGGTCACACTATATTAACTTGTTTTCTTGGATAACATCTTCATATTGACGTCAATCCTCATTTGTTTAAATTGATATGGCGCAAGGTATAGAAAAATGATTTTTGGCAAGCAAGTTTGTTTTTTTCTACCCATCTAATTATGGTTGTATTTACTCAATAAATTTTTGTTCAAAAGTCTAACCAAAAGCCCAAACACTTAGGCGTAGCGAGATTACAAATATAAGAGACTCATTAACGTCATGTATTCAAGTGGTAGATAAGAATCAAACATCCATGCACGTCATTAAATTGAAGGACAAAGAGTCACAAACACAAAATAAACTGGAGTTATGAAGTGTGCGAAACTAACTATGATAACGTCGTATCCAAATATTTAGGTTATTCGTTTAAGGGAGAGTACACGTGTAAGACCCATTGAAATTTAATATTCAAGTCACGTGAAAAAACACTTTAACTTCTTTAACTCCACGTGCAATCTTCCTCATAATTTTTTGACTTGCACATAAGATGGTACGCCAAAATGTTATCCTATGTCATTTTAACCATAAAGGTGGTTGGTCTAATGGTAAAAGGATCACTTATTTTTTTTTACGAGATTACAAATTCGATTCACGTCTTGAGCAAATCTCTGAGAAATCTGTGCTGTATTGCCTTTCCGGTTGCTAGCTCGGTGGTCGATATAGTTAGTTTTGTAAGTGAGTAAAAAAGAAAAAACAATGCTTGAGATAAAGAGACTCGTTTAAGCATTCAATATTTAATAAGCCGTGTCATTTTTCTCATCTATTAAACTTACCTGGGGAAGTGTTATTTATTAACTTAACTAAACACCCGTTGACATTGATTCGTGCATTATGATGATGATGTGCTGTCCTCGCCAACCCCACTGGATCGCTCTCTTCCTCTCTCTCTCTCTTCCACCACCTTTGCGTCGTCTCCCTCTCGAAACCTCTCCATTGCCATGGCAGTGTTACGAGCTCTCTTCACTCTCTTCTCACCTCCTCAACACCCGCCATCCTCACCCTCCAACCCTCCCTCCCTCTTCTGCTTCCTCCTCTTCGCCGCCATGCTCTCCTTCTCGCCATTGCCAGGTGGCCTCCCCGTGGGCTCACCCGCTTCTTCATCTCGATCGAACCCTAGACTACCGAAAAGATCTCGAACGGCCGGGCCTTCGCCCGACTGCCCCCGCGGAGTGGGAGTCGGCATGCGAGCTCCTGTTCCACGAGGCGTCGGGGTTCGCCCCGTGCGGCGGCTACCGGCGCAAACCTGAGAGGAGGATCTCAGCCGCCACACCCGTTCAGCCCCGGGAGGATCGCCGCCTTCGGGAGGTTCCCAGCGCAGCAGACGGGGCCGGCTTCAAATGATGGGCGAAATCAAGTGTCCTGTTATAACGAAAAAAAACTAGCTTTCATTTCACAGACCAAAAAAAAAAAAACTAGCTTTCATTTCCTTCTGAAAAAATGGGGATTTTTTTTTTTTGGGTAAAAAAAACAGGGGAATTGAGCAAGTCGAATTTATAACGAAAAATATCACGTTTATCGTTCACGAGATAAATATCTTTGTCTTAATGAACGGCAGAAGAAACAAACGGAGACACCTCCACTCCGTCATCTCTCTCTCCCTTCCACGATGGACATAGCCGTTGAGCGGAGACGGAGGTGGTGGTTGTTCCCCTCCTCCGTGTGCCGCCGGAACAGCCGGTGGCCCGGAGCTTCCTCTTGCCGCGTCTTGTTCGATTTAAATGCAGAACCGCGTTTGCAAAACCCTCTCCTCTCCTCGCCCTCCTCCCTCCCTCTGCAAACCCTCCTCTTCTCCATTCTCTCTCTCTCTCTATCTCTCCAAGAAACCCAGAAACCTCGTTCAAACCCACCCTCTCCTTCTCTGTCCAAGAAAACCCATAAACCCTTTGACAGTACTCCGTCGTTGATGGCATCGTTGACGGCCAAGCGCCGGCGTACCGAGATCGCCAGGATCGCCGACCCGGCTGCCCGCCTCGTGACCTACTCCAAGAGGCGCAAGGGCCTCTTCAATAAGGCGTCCGAGCTCTCCCGCCTCTGCGGCGCCCGCGTAGCGGTTGTCGTCTTCTCCCCCGCCGGCAAACCTTGCTCCTTCGGCGACCCATCGGCCGACGAAATTATATCCGACTACCTCCGAGGCGGCGGCGGCGAGGTGATGCCGCCGATGGGTCTAACCCAGTGGGCGGAATGGGTCCAAACGGAGTGGGACGCTTGCGCGACCGAGGAGGACCTCGAGTCCCTGATTCTGAAATACGAAGCGGTCCGCGACTGTGCGCGCGAGAAGCTGAAGGCGTTGGAGGATTCACACAAATTGAGCGAACAGGAGATGGATTCTTTATTCGAGAGTCTCGAAGGTCAAGGCCCAGCGCTTGCGGCTCTCTTGACGGAAGACGATGGTTTCCTGACTTCGCCGGAGAACCCGGCTGCCGGCGGTGGAAGTTCAGCGGTGGAGTCCACCCCCGCGGTCTCCGATCTCGAGGGCTGCGGATCTAACGTCGCCGGAGGCGGAAGTTTAGGAGTGGGGTCGACCCCTAATCTGTCGGAGGACTGCATCGTGGACAGCCATGGTTTCTGGAGTTCGCCGGAGGACTCGGCCGTTGGCGGTGGAAACTCAGGAGTGGAGCGCGCCCTCTCCGATCTAGGAGAATATGGATATAATCCCAATGAGTTTGTGGGACTTGAAGATTTGGGTGTCTTACTCTGAATATACTGTGAATATGAACGCGTGTCTTTTTCCTTGGTTAAACTGTACTGTACAGCGAGTGTTCTCTGTCTCGAGATTCACGATATTTTTGTTAAGGTTTTGTATGTCTCTGAGGAATAGAGCGAGATAGTGATACGATGAACATAATAGAAATTAGGGGTTCTGTTGTTCAATTCTTGTATTCACATCGGATTATTCAATAAAGGTTCGATTTTTTTTTGTGGAGATGTTGAATAGGGTAAATTGGATCTTCTTCTTCTCTGTGAATATGAACATTCATTTACTGTTTTTTACTGTTAAACAATAAATGAAGCAATAATACTGTTAAACATTCATTTACTGTTTTCCAATATAAAGGTCATTTGGACATAGCTGAATTGAATAATCGCTCCACTGCGTATACAAAGGTTCATTCAATTCCCAGCATTCTAGTAATGGCGCTTTCGCAGCGATGATACATTGAATCGAAGCAATGATCAGTTGTTTTTTTTTGTTTTTTAGCAAAATGCTTCAAGAGAAGTTTGTGGATGTAGTTGCTGATAATGATATTAACCGATTATAAGGTATGGAATTTGCGGATGTAGTTGCTGATAATGATCTTACTAAGGGAGTGTTATTTTAGTATGATTGAAAGTTGGGAAGAAAAGGCAAGTCCTAGGCCTGTACGCGCTACAAGCTCATCTTGATGGTCGGTGTGGGAGTCAGTGGGGGGCCCGGACAGGAACATGAATCTCCTCCTTTGATGGTGTACTGTTCATCTCTCTTGCGAGTAATCATGAAAACGTCTGACCCGCTGCACTCGTCTACGGCTGCCAGGCGACGAAGAAAATGAGTGATGAAGATGTTCTGTCCTTGCCCGGCCAACCTCTCTCCCCATATACTCTTCCTCTTCCCACCATCTTTGCGTCGTCTCCCTCAGAAAACCTCCATTGCCATGTCATGTGACGACTGACGACCTCTTCACTCTCTTCCCACCTCCTCCAGACCGTCCTTCATCTCTGCGAAGGAGTCGGCGTACGAGCTCCTGTTCCACGTGGCGATGGGGTTCGCCCCGTGCGGCGACTACTGGCCCAAACCTGTGGAGGGTCTCAGCCACCCATCTGTTCAGCCCCGGGAGGATCGCCGCCTTCGAGAGGTCCCGAGCGCAGACAGGGCTTCAAAGGATGGGCGAAATCAAGTCTCTAATGGAGGAGCGTGGCGAGGTCGGGTCGAGGAAGGTGTTGCCCTTATGTCCGCTCAACAACGTGATGATGGGCATGTTGGGGGAGGTCCTACGACTTCGGCACTCGCCATGGCCGCCACGGAAGTGACGGGCTCGGGCTCGAGGGTCTGGTTATTGAAGGGTACGAGCCGCTTGGCCTGTTCAACTGGGGCGATCACTTCCCTCTGCTGGGTTGGTTGGCTCTGCTTTGCTTCGTATTTCTACGAGGAAAACCACGTTACAATGTTCAAGTCTTTCTTTTGGCTTCGAGTATCTACGGATGTTGCATATTTCATTCCTTCTGTCGCTGCATGTTCCTTTTGTTCGTATGTTATTTCCTGTCGGGTGATCTCATATGGTGCATTTCTTCCTTCTCGTTCGGTTGTCCCATGTTTTATGAAAGCGAAATAAAGGTTGAAAATCTTTTTCTGGTCATGTTGTGATCAGGAAATGATCTTCAGAGGCGCCGACAAAGCGTCCGAGATCGACACTGCCCTCGGCCCCACCCGGCGGGCCGCCGACCCTGACCTCCCGAAACTCCTGTACCTCCGGTCCATTGTCAAGGGAACCCTAACGATGCACCTGCCGAGCCACAGTGAACATGTGGGGCATGACCCGTGGCGAGGCGGTCCGGCCTGACCCAGACGAGTTCAAGCCGGAGAGGTTCTTGGAGGAGGACAGTGTCGGGTTAGTGATCACAAGGTTCCGAGTTTCCACGCGGGGGTTACGATAGTTAAACGGTCGAGATTTGTCCGGCCAAGTCAAGAATCGATCACGGACGCCGTCTGTCAAGAGATCATAAAGTGCAGGCCATCGAGGTTTGAAGCTCTCGAAAACCGCCAATGTTGCCGTCGCTCAAAACTTTAGAACCACATCCGTCCATATCGTCGTACGGTGAGATTGACGGATTTCGAGAGTTTCGATCCTTGTCGGCCTACACTTTCGGCTCTCTTGGCGGACTTCATCCATGATCGATTCTTGACTTCGCTGGACAACTCGGCCGCCGGCAGTGGAAGTTTGGGGGTTGGATGTTGTTTAAAATGTTCCCTAGCAGTGGTGGGTGTTGTTTCAGCTCGTTCATGATGTTCCATAAAATTGATGTATTGAATAACGTGGAAGAGTTTATATGAGCATTAGGACAAGTGGGTCGCACTACATTAGTTAGTATACCAATTTCTCGAAGTCATTCTTAATATATCTGCTTTTGGTAGTAGGAGAATCACTCTTACAATGCAATTACAAATGCCCATTGCGATCTCGCAACATCAATATTTCGCGAAAAAAAAAAATACACATAACATAGAAAAAGATAAAATTCTGAATAATTATAAAGGTCATTCTTAATTTGATCGAGGGTCTATGGATGTGATGGAATTGTGTTATAATGTTTTTAGATGCGTTAGCTATAAAAAGGAACCCAAAAGGAAAATATAGTAAAGGACTCGAATATATATAGATATTTGAAGGATTTGAAGAATTATACAAAATCAGTTGTGTCATCACTCACAGTCCCTCATAATTCATATATTTATTTTCTCTTCGTCCAATAAAGACGTCATTTTTAAAAGAAGTTTTCTCCTCTGCTAATATAGCATAATGTTTTGTCTTAATGTCCGATCGAATTCTAAATATTTTGAAATCGGTATAATCAAGTTATTCTAAAGAGATGTTAGCCGATTTTATTGACGCGACGCCACATCGGATTAAAAAAAAGTTGAAAGTAAAAAAAAAACCAAAAAAAGTCGGTATTTATTTAGAATGTCTTTTATATACAAAACTTTTATTCACATAATCAAATATTGCAATTATCATAATTATTTTAAGCGAAATACCGACCCCGTTAAGAAAATTAGAACTTAGCTTGTCATGGATATTATTAAAAGGTTTTTCCAATTTCAAATTTTTGGAGAGTTCAAAAACAAAAAAGATTCAGAAAATAAGCGTAGACAAACAGAAATAATAATTGCCACATCAATTACAATTTATCTTATTGTAAATTCAATTATAAACTTCAAAGAGATTTCAATATATATTACAATTAGTTTTTTTTAATTAGCTTCCATTTTCTTCTGAAAAAATGGGATTTTTTTTTTTTGGGTCATCAAAAACTGGGGAATTGAGCAAGTCGATTTTTTTTTTTTTTGGTCAGAAGCAAGTCGAATTTATAATGAAAAATATCACGTTTATGGTTCACAAGATAAATATCTTGTCTTAATGAACGGCAGAAGAAAGAAACGGAGACACTTCCACTCCGTCATCTCTCTCTCTTCCGCGATGGACGTCGCCGTTGAACGGAGACGGCGGTGGTGGTTGTTCCCCTCCTCCGTGTGCCGCCGGAACAGCCGGTGGCCCGGAGCTTCCTCTTGCCGCGTCTTGTTCGATTTAAATGCAAAACCGCGTTTGCAAGACCCTCTCCTCGCCATCCTCCCTCTGCAAACCCTCTTCTTCTCCATTCTCTCTCTCTTTTTCTCTCCAAGAAACCCAGAAACCTCGTTCAAACCCACCCTCTCCCTCTCTGTCCAAGAAAACCCAGAAACCCTTTGACAGAGCTCCGTCGTTGATGGCGTCGTTGACGGCCAAGCGCCGGCGTACAGAGATCGCCAGGATCGCCGACCCGGCTGCCCGCCTCGTGACCTATTCCAAGAGGCGCAAGGGCCTCTTCAATAAGGCGCACGAGCTCTCCCGCCTCTGCGGCGCCCGCGTAGCGGTCGTCGTCTTCTCCCCCGCCGGCAAACCTTGCTCCTTCGGCGACCCATCGGCCGACGAAATCATATCCGACTACCTCCGAGGCTGCGGCGGCGGCGGCGGCGGCGAGGTGATGCCGCCGATGGGTCTGACCCAGTGGGCGGAATGGGTCCAAACGGAGTGGGACGCTTGCGCCACCGAGGAGGACCTCGAGTCCCTGATCCTGAAGTACGAAGCGGTCCGCGACTGCGTGCGCGAGAAGCTGAAGGCGTTGGAGGATTCACACAAATTGAGCGAGCAGGAGATGGATTCTTTATTCGAGAGCCTCGAAGGTCAAGGCCCAGCGCTTGCGGCTCTCTTGACGGAAGACGAAGGTTTCCTGACTTCGCCGGAGAACCCGGCTGCCGGTAGTGGAAGTTCAGCAGTGGAGTCCACCCCCGCGGTCTCTGATCTCGAGGGCTGCGGATCTAATGTCGCTGGAGGTGGAAGTTTAGGAGTGGGGTCGACCCCTAATCTGTCGGAGGACTGCATCGTGGACAGCCATGGTTTCTGGAGTTCGCCGGAGGACTCGGCCGTTGGCGGTGGAAACCTGGAGGACTGCTTCGTGGACAGCCATGGTTTCTGGAGTTCGCCGGAGGACTCGGCCGTTGGCGGTGGAAACTCAGGAGTGGAGCCCGCCCTCTCCGATCTAGGAGAATATGGATATAATCCCAACGACTTTGTGGGACTTGAAGATTTGGGATTCCTACTCTGAATATACTGTGAATATGAACGCGTGTCTTTTTCCTTGGTTAAACTGTACTGTACAGCGAGTGTTCTCTGTCTCGAGATTCTCGATATTTTTGTTAAGGTTTTGGATGTCTCCGAGGAATAGAGCGAGACAGTGATACGTTGAACATAATAGAAATTGGGGGTTCTGTTGTTCAATTCTTGTATACACATCGGATTATTCAATAAAGGTTCAATTTTTTTGTGTGGAGATGTTGAATAGGGTAAATTGGATCTTCTTCTTCTCTGTGAATATGAACATTCATTTACTGTTTTTATACTGTTAAACAATAAATGAAGCAATGACACTGTTAAACATTCATTTACTGTTTTCCAATATAAAGGTTGTTTGGACGTAGCGGAATCGAATAATTGCTCCACTGCATATACAAAGGTTCGTTCAATTCCTACCATTCTAGTGATGGCGCTTTCGCAGCGATGATACATTGAATCGAAGCAATGATCAGTTGTTTTTTTTTTGGCTTTTTAGCAAAATGCTTCAAGAGAAGTTTGTGGATGTAGTTGCTGATAATGGTCTTAACCGGATAATAAGGTGTTGTCATTTCCATGATGCATTTGAAGTGGACTAGTGGTGCTTACAGGGTTGTTCTGCTCGATCTGTGCTAACTCACCCATCTGTTGGGTTTTAGATTCAAACAGTTTATTACATCAGTCTATTAGACAGCTACAAACCAAAGCCACTTAATCCCGTAAGCTGTTTAAATGGCAACTTCCACACGAAATTGAACTATCCGTTCATCCCTTGGTACAGAATGCAGATGCAAGCCAATCTAATTTATACATAGATGCTAATTTCACAGAAGACAACGCTTGATTATTTGCCTTCAAGGACAATGTTAGTGATAGATTTTGTGGACCAATTACTTTCTTTTGTGATGACTGGATCTCACGAGTTGTTAAGCTTTGAAAGGTAAATGTAGGTTGTTTCGGTGGAGGAATTCTTGAACTCTTCCACACCTTGTGCTGAGCTGCTTGAAAGCCTTTTCACGGCTATCTCCTTCCCATCCTTCAACTTTCCCTGTTTCCTAATTAAGCGGAATCACTAGACATTTGGCTTGGACAAATGACCTGTATGTTATACTTAGAGAGAAGGCTTTACCTTATAGAGAGGGCCGAAACCTCCCTGCTCGAGTTTATTGCTTGCGTTGAAGTTGTTTGTCGCGAGTAATCAAAACTGAAAAGTGTCAAACTCCAATGCATCTTCTTGCCTCCAATGCTCTTTCCATGCATTCTGCGCTTCTTCTGAGTAAAGTAGTGCTGGGGTTTTCATCGTCTTAAACTTCCGTGCAATTTTCATGTGTGCAGAGTGAACATGCTTCGTTTCCAAATAGATTGAGCACATAAATGGCAAACTAGATGAAAGCATCATTTTTTATGTGATTATGGAATGTAGAACAAGCAATCTTCTATAGAAGTGGCGATTTAAAAAATATTTTTTAAATCGTTCGTTTTCCGCAAAATAAATACACTCTTGATAAACTCCTATCTTCCCAATATTCGGTACGAAAAGATTAGTTGGTTACTCACATTTTTTATGTGGATATATATTTAAATGATAGAATTACTTCCTTTGTCGCACTTTATCTTAAGGAATTGGATCAAATAATCCGCGCTTCAAAACTTGGGTCCCAAATTCGTGGAAGGGAGTTCAACTTCTGTTTTTTTTTTACTATATTCAAAAGGTTATGACCAAAAAAAGGAACTAGAGTTTTCGAATTATTATAATTTTTGACTTTGCCTCTTTGCACTCGCTAGCCTAAGGCTTAGCCAAGACTTCAACGGTTATGGGGACTTGAGTAAGTCGTTATGAAAAATATCCCTGAGGCAAAGCTAAACCTGGCATGGCTGGGGAATAAGCTCACTTCACATAACAGTTTGATCTGATTGTATTCATTCAAACTTGGAAATTGATTCCCACTAAGTAATTGGCCGTGAAGGAGTCGCCTGCCTTTGACAAATTCACGAGTTCGATTCGCATCACAAATTCCTTACTGTTAGCATCTTGGTAGGGCTTTGATGACGGGGTCATCAACATCGAACCTTTGGGATTGTGGATAGTGTGCAATAATTACAACTCAAACCGAATATCCTGTAACGGGCGTGGCTATATATATAGGCAAGAAAATGCATGGTCTGTTGAGAATTTCAATTATAGTACATTCACTCGTCTAGTTATAAAGATTCATAGTTTTGTTTGGTTGCCATTGTACCGCTTGACCAAGGACAGCTATGAACACGAGAAATGCTCTCTTTTGGAGCCTAGTGGTCTCTCTTAATCTCTCTTCCGAAGAATGAAACCCTAATCTACTTAGTGAAGTTTCTTTCATGCAAAACATGACAAAAAGCAGAATGTTTGGTGCTTTGTGAGTTTTGCAATCCTAGAATTTATTGGCCAATGGGATACACTTGGGAAAAATCAGGACTCCTCCACTCCAACCTATAAGTATATCTCATTCTCATCTCTTCTATCCCAAGTTCACAAACCTCCTTCAACTCCACTCTCTTTTATCATATTGTTCATATTTCTTTAGCTAGCGGCCTTAAAGACACATCGTGGGCGTGTTCACTTTCACAAATGAATACATTTCTACAATCCCTCCGGCAAAATTGTTCAAGGCCCTAGTTGTGGAATCACATAACCTAACTCCAAACTCATGCCTCAAGCTATTAAAAGCATTGACATCATCCAAGGCTATGGTGGGGCTGGAACCATTAAGCAGATCAACTTCATTGAAGGTAATCATGCTTTTTTTGCCGTATAAATGTGCTTCTTTTCTAACTTGAACAAATATTAGGGCGTAGACAAGTATCCTATGATACAATCTCCTTCTATTGTATACAGGTGATCAGCTTAGCAGCATGAAGAATTGTGTGGATGAGCTGAACCTGGAGACATTAACGTACAAGTATACCCTAATCGATCTTAAGGAGAAGTTTGAATCTATTGTTTACGAAGTCAAATTCGAGCCAACACTAGAAAGCGGGAGCAAGAACAAGATGACGAGCACGTACTACACGAAGGGAGATGTTGAGCTTAAAGAAGAGGATGTTAAGGCAGGCAAAGAGCGAGCCTTCGCAATGTACAAGGTTGCCGAAGCATACCTCCTCCAAAACCCCGATGCTTATGCTTGAAACTTCACATGCTCTCTTGAGCAATTTAAGAAGCCCTGTCAATAAGTTCTCGTGATATATTCTATCTTCTGTTGGAAGTATTCGAGTTCCTTTACTTCTCTATGGCTATAAACTTCCTTAAATTTGAATGGCAATAAAGATACGCACTTTATAACTTCATTGTGATCAATTCCTATAATTGAGTAGAGCCAACATTAAGGCTTGAGCTTTTTCCCTAGTAAGGATTGGGCGTGAACTTGTCCTATAACAAGTGCTTTCACGAAATGGTCCATGGAGTCACATACAACTACTGCTGAGGGTTTCTTTGATATGCACCATCCGTTGAAACAAGTACTAAGGGAAGTGTGATGAAAACTCATTGAACACTTGCATATATGTTTACTTGAGCACATCACATGGCTCTTAAAAAAGCTTCCCATGGATATGTTACCAACCTTTTAACTCCATCCCATAATCAATTTTTATGGATTGCTATTGTCCTTTACTTTATAAGTAAATAGATTGAAGATGAAAGAAAATCGAGGTGTGAGTGCACCTGTTCGTGGAAGCCCACTCGAGCACACAAGATAGGTCAAGAGATTAAAAAAAATTCAACATTCCAATTCCAATAAAGGACAACATTAGAAATTGTGGAACTAGATTATGAGCCGTTCAACTCATCTTATGCGTATTCGATACCAAATTTCGATACACTCCTACTCTTCAAGCACTTGCGCACATCTCTAAGGAGTTCGTCCTCAGGCAATGGGCTTACAACATAGTTTTGTAGTTCCTAAAGATGACCTTTTTTAAACAAGTATGTTAGGCTCTATAAGGTTGGCCCGGTCACACCTCTCTTGTCTTCACTTCAGTTATCCAAAAAAAAATTCCAAGTCCAAACATTTTGATTTTGGTTGATCTGTCACTCGAGAAATTAAGGTTTCATTAACTAGATCTTTGTCAGTGTCAATTTATAAGACATGAGTAAATTAGGACTAAACAAGTGTATATAATCATAGCTCTACACTTCAAAACTTTCATCCATTCCATATTTAGGGTGGAATAATAACTTCCAGTGACAATATTACTAGTATGGACGTGCAATTGAAAATTTGGATTTATATATATATTTAAAGATGGTATAGGAAAAGTTTGGATAAAAATGCAAGTATCTTGTTTCACAATTTGAAACAAATTTTGGTTTTGTTCGGCTCCAATTAGTAAAAATGATTTGATTTGGTTTGAGTTTTTATCAAATCGTATTTCAACATTTTTATTTGATTTGGCCTTGAAACCACACCAAACTGCAACGTCATCACCCCCACCCATAAATCCTCACATGATTGCATGTACAACATACGTGTCGTGCCTTGGAACCAAACCACCTCGATAAGCAACTCCATAATTTATGGTTCCTTTTCCTTCTGGACACACATAGAATGCTAAATTTGTATACAGCGGAACAACATTCATATGTAGATCGGCGTTATGACAATAAAGAACACTCATGCCATTTCGAATTAGAGTGATTGATTTCAAAATCGTACCAATGCCGAAGATACACGATCAAAACGAACAATATTAGATGAGGTCACCAAAAAATGAAAGTTCATTTCAACATGCCAACCCACGATCATTAATATTTGTTTTAATACTTAGAAAAATTATGAAAAGACTTAGCAAAATGAGACGAAAGGAAGAGAGCGAGGGTAAAAAAAATGAGAGATAATTGTTCAAATCAAACTATCCACTCACTTGGCAACATTTGTTACAATAATGCTGCATTTCCCCTCCTCAGGCTATCGTTTATCATGATAAAGTGCAGATCGCATAGCAGAAGGAAGAAGCGACACTCTTCAATCATCTTCCTCTGTTCAACGATGGACGTCACCACCGCAACTGCAACTGCATCGACGGAGGCGAAGCTGGTGTTCCAGTTGTACCTGGGCCGCTAGGGCTAGGGCTAGGGCTAGGGCTAGGGCTTTTTTGCCTGTGACAATGTGCAGCTTTAGGATCAGTGAGCAGTGTGTAAACTGTGTGTGTAGTCTGCAGTGTATATGTGGTCTGCGTGCTTTTGCTGTGTGCATGAGATACGTAAGTGGATGAATTTAGCACAAAAAAATAAGTTGGGAAAAAACAAAAGACTAAAAAGAAGCAAAACAAAGAGGAAAAAGAAAATTAACCCCAAAAGAAATTGCAGAAAAATCTTATGTTTGCCAGGATAAAAAGAAAACGAAGAGACATAATTTTGCAAATAAATGAAAAAAGAACAAAATCACAAGAGGAAAAAAAGTGAAATATATCACGGAGGAATTAGAAATGCTTGTTTGTCTCTCTCTCTCTCTCTCTCTTTTTTCTCTTTTATTTAGATAAAGGTTTAAATTTTCTCCTTCCATTTTTTTTTTTAAATTAGAGAACGGCAGCTTTGTGGAAGAACAAAGGGGAAGTTCGGTCCTACCTCCGGAGAGTGTTAAAATGGATTAGTTCTAGAGCACGCGTCGGCGTCGGCATCGCCATCGCCATTGGCATCGCCATCGCTCGAACATAATATCTCCTTTTCTTCGTCCCCCAAAAGAGAAGGTTAGCTTTGTTTTCTTGTCAGAAATGGAGAGCGACGGCATTCTCTGTTTACCAGTGGAGGCTGGGCTTGAATTTTCATGGTGGTTCTATCTGCGAAAATATGGATTTTCCATTTTTCAATGATTAGTATTTCTATAATTTGTAAATTACAAGTAATATCTTTCTAGGGTCTCAGTTGTTTCATTTGGAAAGTATTACTAGGTTTTAGTTGTTTCAATTGGAAAGCAGTATACATACTTAGCGAAAGAGATAGATCCATAACGGGATGATGAATCGGCAAATTTGCCATGACATGGAGCAATGCGATATAATAATATTTTAATGGGTTAATACCATGAAAACTTTAAACTGGTACACTTGTGTCACATTTATCCTAAATTAATTTTTTGATTACAAAAAATTCCAAATTGATACGCGTGACAATTTTACCCAAAGTTAGCATTCGTTAAATTTCACTATCAAATTTATGAGTTGTATGGCACGTAACAGTTGACGGATGTACCGGTTTGTTGTTTTACTTCTCAGTTTGTCATAGGTATATCGGTTTGTGATTTTTCGTAGTATTAATTCAATTTAATGCAAGGTAAATTTGTCACAACTGGGCAAGATCCGATGGGGGTCGTCGACCTGGCGGCGAGGAGAGCTAACTCACGAAAATATCGAGCTTTCATTGGCAGATGTGATTTCATCTTGACGTGATTAGGAGTGGTGTTGCAAAACTTGCAATATTGGGATTAGACACATACATCCGAACTGAATAATTATGACTCAAATCGAACGTTCTGTATCGATCTTCGAACTATTAATTAGTTAAATTTGAATGATCTGTAAAATATTTTCCTAAAAATAATCGTTTAAAAAACAAAAAAAAACAAAATATAATTTCATTGAGCAGGAAAATATTTAGACATAAATTGTTGTCGATAATGAAAATACTTTTCATCGATTAATTTACAAACCACACGAGTGATCATTTTTAGAAAAAATAATTTTTCAAACCATTTGTTTTTTACGAAATAAATGCACTCTACAATGTTAAATCCAATTATTAAACTTTCGAATTTATTCAATCTAGTTCCGAAAAAAAAATTACTTTTTCGATTTTTTGAATGCATGTCATTACAACAAGGACCTGTGATAGTATGTGCTTTTCCTTCGACGTGGCATCAGCCCATCCCCTCTCTTCATGCCGGGAGAAATAACTTGTGAGAAAGCAATAGTGCTCCAACTTAATGGTCATGGAAAATTATCGTACTGAAAATTGAGGAAAATGATTTCTCCATCGTAATAAGAAGAAGTTATTTTTCCAAGCTCCTTTTTCACATCGACGCTCACATGTGGATTCCAATTTACTTGCTCTCTAAGTTTGTTAATTATTTGTATTTTCTTTCAATCATACATCCTATTTAATTTTGATTTATTTTTATTACAAATTAAATTAAAATTCATACTTCATTTATTAGTAACAACCAACCATTTTCTTTGAAAATGGTTTTCACGAAAACTATTTTCCTTTGTCGAGAAGTTTTTAACGAAATAAAAGTACCTTATATTTTAATGAGCTTACAACATGGTTTTGTCGTTCCAAAGGTTGACCCTTCCAAGCATGTTAGGCTCTATAAGCTTTTGGTCCATCTCGTGTGTTTGAGTGGGCTCTTACTAATAAGCCCACTTAGACCTCCATCCCTCTCTCGTTAGCACATTATCAAGAAACAGAATTTCTATCCATCGTTAAAGTTAGAGTGTGCATACTTTTGTAAAATGCCCAAACAATTTGATTTTGGATGATCTGCCAGTCTAGAAGGTAAGGCTTTAGTAGCCGCATTGACGGTAAAGATGTCTCTTGCCATCTCGAATTAGGGCGAATGCATTTTAAGACCGTACCGACACCGGTGATCCACGACCAAAACGAACGATAATCGATAAGGGCCACCCTGAAATCAAACTCTACTTCTATCTGCTGATCCACAAACAATTGTACTCAAGTTTTAATTTTTGAAAGGATAATGAAAGGACATGGCTGGAGACAAGATGAGAGATAATTGTCCAAGAACTAGCATCGGAACGGGGTCACTTGGCAACGGTTGGTACAGTAAGAGCTGCCCTTCCTCTTCAGGCAAACGCAACCGCATGTCTTAACGAACGGCAGATGGCGGAGCAGAAGGAAGAAACGGGACAACCTCGATAATCTCTCAACTCTCTCGGCGTACAACGATGGACGTTGCCAGAATGGAGACGAAGCCGGTGTACCTGTGGTCCGGGGGCCACGAGAACAGCCGGCCTGACCCCGTCTTCCTCCGCGTGCAGAACCAGGAGGAGGATGACGTTCGCTACCTGCTGGACTGGAGTGCGCCGCTCAGGGCCCTCATGGTCGAGTTCTGTGCTCGCAGGGGCTTCCCGTGCGACGCCGTGCGGTTCACCTACAATGGGGCGCGGGTCCCGGAAGCCAAGTCGGCAGAGGATCTCGGCATGGACGATGGGGACGTCATGGACGCCTGGGCCAATCAGCTCGGCGGCTAGAGGCTACGGCTAGGGCCAGGGCTTTTGCTTGTGACTATGTGCTGCTCGGGGATCCGTGAGCAGTGTGTGTGTGTGTGGTCTGCGTGCTTTTCTTGTGTGTATAGATGAAGTTAAGAAGGAGAAGCAGAAATAAGAAGTAGGAGGAGGAGATGATGGCAGTGATAGGTTTTGATGTTCTGCTTTCCTTGAGTTCATGGGCGACGTTTATGGTTGAAAAGTTGCGAGCCTTCTTGCGCCATTTGCTTTGCCATTGCCATTTCTGGAGCTATATCTCTCCTTTTGCTTCATCCCAAGAAAGAAAAGGCTTGCTTCGTGTTCTTCTGTCGGAAATGGACAGCGATGGTGAACTTTGTTCACCAGTTGGAGTCTGCTCTTGAATTTTCATACTACGTGCGAAAGTTGAGGCAGTGTGCAAAGTTATGCTTTGATTTCCTATCTGGGTGTCAAATTCAAATCTTTCGCATGGAGTTAGTTCATATTTTACCTGGTGCCACGACCGTGTCGACTTACCCGACACCCCGTCAGGTTACTCACCGCGATCGACGTTAGTAAGGACAATTCGGGTCATAAAAAAAACAATATGAATCGATTACGGTCATAAAAAATCTGTCCAGGAGTCCGGGTCATAAAAAAAAACATATATTCTTTAAACCAGTTCTCCAACTTACCTACTTAGGCTGATGTTGAAGGTCATCAAACGCACCAAATCATATTCAGCATTTAGTGAAGTTATGAAGCAAGCTCTACATTTGGTAGAGTTGGTGGTAACTTCTGTAAGATTTCTGAGTTTATTTATAAACTTTATTAGCTAAATGTCCAATGTAGTTCTTCCATTAATTTTAGTTCATGGACAACATTGAAGATTTTAATATAGCCCAACGACTAGATTGAACATGTATCAGAAGTCGAGTGATCAAATTGAACAAATATGTATCAAGGGTTTAGAATATGTATCAAAAATTCAAAAAATCATATTAAACAAATTAAAAGTTCATAGATGATATTGCATATTGGATCAAATTTCAGTGATCATTTATGCAATAATTCCATATTAATCAAATTTAACCTATATATATTTCAGAATTTATAATATTCCACACTCAAAATTCGGCTCTAAAATATTTAATTTTCAATTTTCAATTTTATCATACAGCCTCGTATTATAAGAGCTAACTGGCGAAAGTATCGAACTTTCATTGGTGGTTGTGACTTCATCTTGCGTAATGCAAATTTGTCTTTTCTCTTCATTGCTTCCACGAATATCAATTTCCATGAGTATAAATTTCAAGGGGAGCATTGACCACCGGGTGATTATCATTCACAATCGCGTCATGAGCGAACCTCTGATTAATTTGTGTCTTGAATGTTACGGGAAAGGACACTCTAACACGTTGGTGAAGCCACGGTCATGGGATCATATACACGTAAAGCGAGCTCAATAGTCATGAGTCAAATCGAATATTCGGTGTCGAATGTGAGGCCCTTATCATAAGACCGAGAGAGAAAGCTACGGTGATTATCTCTCATCGCTTTTCTCACACGTTCAAAATAACAGGGCGGGCACATCATGTTGCAACCGTTACCTTATGCGAAGAGACTATCGGGTATGTCAGTGGGTTTGCGGTGATATAATTGTATAAGTAACAAACGGACCAATAGTTACGACTCAAATCGAACATCGGTAGATTGCATCTCCCAAGTCTACGAAAGGGGTTTTATGAGTGTTGCGATTATGAAAGGAGATTGATTGAAGGAGCTGCGCAATCAATCCAATTGTCTCAGCCCTTTACTTCGAAACCCTTGCTTGTTTCCATGCTCTTCCTCACTTTGTTGGTTGATCTGGACAGAAATCTGGCTGGAAATTGACAGCTCCATCTCGGTAAGCTTCCTGCAAGATTCCTCTCTCTCCTCCTATGACGTTGACCCACTTATCAAAGAATGTTTAGGCTTCTAGGCCTTTTTTGAGTCTTTAGTTGGCCTACTGCTCTCAAGATTCGAGTAGGCTGACAAATTGGGTTGTAAATGCCTTTATATGTAATGCCCTTCCACATTATTGGGTTTCTTGCCTACCACCTCCTCTATAAGAGATCATATTTTTTTTTATAACCCTCACTCTAGAGGGCTCGTTGTTAAATGAAATGATAAGCCTATGTTACGTCCAAAAAAATGAAACATTTCATATCGGACGTGAGACCCTTTACTGATAACGACAAAAGGAAAAGTTATGGTGATTCCCTCTCCTGGCTTTTTTCACACTTTAGAAACAACGGGGTACGTCATGTTGCAAACTTACACGCATCAATAAAAAAAAAGAAGGGTTGGCATGGACTTGTGAATCCTACTACCCTACCTCAAGTGTCCATCGGATGTGTACACTCTACCAAATGATTGCTTCCACACCAACCTCGTTGTCTACGGAGAGGGGAAAGACCTAGAAATTGACCTACTAATGAAGATCGGCTCGTCCTTCTCCTACTTTGGGCCCCACCCAAATTTTTTCTAATCGAAAACGACATAAACAATCTCTAAACTTTCATTCACACGTGACGTCATCCTAAATCTTTTCAGTTTATTGAATACAATCTCTCAACTTTCGATATCAAAGGTCTTGGAGAAGACCCGGAAAATGATATAGGATATAGGACCTCCGTTTGTTTCGTGAAAAACGAACGATTTGAAAAATATTTTTTCGAAAATAATGGCGTGTATCGTTTAAAATAATCAGTCAATAATAAATATTTTCATCATTGATAATAATTTATATCTAAATATATCTGTGAACGATGAAAATATTTTTTGACTCTTCATTTTATAAATGATGTATAATTGATAGTTTTTTATCATTGGTTTTTGGGTTAATATTACGAAAAACCCTAAACTGGTACACCTATGAGAAATTTACTCAAAACTATTTTTTTGACCATTAAAAACCTCAAACTAGTACACCTGTGATAAATTACTCCTCAATTAGTTTCCGTTAAATTTTACCGTCAGATTGTAGAGCTGGATGACACGTGGCAGTTGACAGGTGTGCTAGTTTGGGGCTTTACTCCTCTATTTGTCACAGATTTATCAATTTCTGATTTTTCATAGTATTAATCCAATTTAACGAAGTATAAATTTGCTACAAGTGTACCAGTTAGGGATTTTTGGTGGTCAAAAAAATAATTTTGGGTAAATTTATTACATGTGTACCAGTTTAAAATTTTTCATAGTCAAAAAATTAATTTAAAGTTAAATTAATTTGTGGTAAAATTGTTACATATATATATATATATATATATATTTTTGGGTAAATTTATTACATGTGTACCAGTTTAAAATTTTTCATAGTCAAAAAATTAATTTAAAGTTAAATTAATTTGTGGTAAAATTGTTACATATATATACATATATATATATATATATCGATTTGGAGTTTTTTTGTTGTATTAGTATTTCATTTTTTTGCAAAATAAACCGACTTCAATGTGGACCCACCTCCTACTTTGGTTCCCCACCCAAACGCCTTTCCCTTTCTCTTTCTCTCCTGTTTTTATCGAATGCATGTCGTTACGACAAGGACCAGAACCCGAAGGACGCAAGAAGCACCAAACAACGCTCGATACGTGTCCGAACGATCCTGTCATAGCCTCTGCTCTTCCTTCCACGTGGCAGCAGCCCATTTCCTCTCCTCTCTCTCTCTCTCTCTCTGCTGTCCCTCTCTTTCGGCTTCGAAAATTTTATGGTTTATGGTGGGAGGGAATACCTGAGGGAGGAAGCAAAAGCGCTCCAGCACCAGAAACCAGCGGCAAATAAAGAACAGCAGAGAGAGAGAGAGAGAGAGAGAGAAGAGAGAGAGAGAGAGAGAGGGGAGATTCCAATTCTTGCATTTGGGTCAGATTTCAAAAAGGGGTGTCCGTGTCTTGGGGGTTTGATTCGATTCTTTGCTCACCCATCTCTCCTAATTCCTTCCCTACCTGCTCCCCAGCGCGTGCGTGAGAGAGAGAGAGAGAGAGAGAGAGAGAGAGAGAGAGAGAGAGAGAGTCTGTGTGGGTAGTGTGTGAATCGGTCGGTGACCCCCTCCTTTGCCAGTGCGCATCATATTCCTCATGTTCCCGCATAACCCACTTTCCGCATAGCTCCTCTCCGCACTCCTCCTCTCCCCCCCCTTGGCTTCTCCTCGATTCGCTTCTTCTTGGGAGGGGATCCGTCGTCCGCGCAAAGATGGAGCGCAATGGCGTGGAGGGTCGGCGCCGGAGAAGCTCCTCCGAGTCCGAGGATTCCGTCGATGTTGGCAACGGCGACGGCGACGTGACCCAAGACAATGGCCGCAACGGTCATTCTTCGGGTCTCCGTCTCTCTCTCTCTCTGTCGTCTTGAATCGTTCTTTTGATTGTTTGTTCCGCGCTCGCCTCGTGCTTTCCTTTTGTTGTTCCTGGGTTGATCTCAAAATGAAGTCTTTTGGCTGCGGTTGGGTGCTACGCTATGATGTTTGAATGTTTTCCTGAGCGACTGCTGTTTGTGCATTGAAAGGTGAATCTTTTATATTGGCGATTACTGCGTTGTCTTTGCGGTGTTGACCATGTTATTAGGGTTCACTTGTCTCTGGAATGCGATCGATGGTCTCCTGCTATATATGTAAAAGTGTTCTCATTTGCACCGAAATGTCGGCTGATCGAGCTGCTGGCCAGCTTGTTGTGTTGTTGAACCGAACCCAACTGAGGTGGTGGTAATGACCACACAGCACTGCTTTTGTGATTGGCAAGTGGTGATAGTTGTGTTGACTAAAGCCTTTGGTTGCTTGAAGTGGTTACATCTATTGGAAACACGGTGTCTTGGATGGGAAAATTTTGCCCGGACTTGGTCCATCACGGATTGAGTGAATGGTTACCTTTGATGTGTCGGGTCCCAGATGGGCCCACATCATCAAATGGCTGGGATCATGCGGTCCATCATCAGACCAGTTTATACAGAAGAATATTTAATGAGTGAGGGGTTGCTTTTTTGACTTGTATTTG